ATCAACAATGCACATGCCTTTGTTTGGTTTCCGCACAAATTCAAAACTCTGTCTCCCTCTATGACAATGGACACATCTGCTGGTCCCCTGTCCCTGGCATCATGGATCACAAGCACCTTCATAGTTTGGTCCACGACGTTGTCATGTTCGTCCTCCATGTTGAAAATAATTAAAGAAAAGCATATTCACTTTAAATTAGGCATATTAACAAGAAGCTATTATACAATATAGGCTTTGTGGTCTAGCATTAGGCCTAATCAATAAAACCAGGGATTGACTTTTTTTAAATGATTTGAAAAAATGTGTGGCAGCGATTAAAAACAAAAAAATATTTCTAACTTAAATAAAAAATGTCAGGCCCAGTCAAATTGCCCATCGATCTAATCAATGACATTAAATTGATTATTTCCCATAAACAGTTCAAACCGGAGAGACGTGATGTAAGAATTACATATGTATTTGTTTACACGTCATATGAATGAAATGATTGCCACGATAATACAACAGGAGAATGTAATGGTGTTCGGCGATTAGGCCCCGGTTTGCAGGATAATCATTCAGCAGGGAAAGAACCGCTCCGATGAAATCCCCGGGGTCTAGACACTGGTGGTGGTGATGAGTAGGTGAGACCGGTCTGAAGGAGGAAGGTTTAGCTTTGTCCTGAAGGAGACGGGAGGCGAGAGGGGTGGAGGCGGGTTGCGTGTGATCATCTGCAATGACAACTGACAGGGAGGAAGAGCAGGCATTTAAGGCATTTAGCATGTGCAGCGATTGGCTGCTGAGGGGTGACGCCCTCGTATTTAATGAGGGGGGAAGGGAGCCATAGAGTGACGTGTAAGTGACTCGTGTTAGGTCTTCCTTATTGAACTTGCGCTAAAGCTTTCATAACTTTTCAGTGCATGATTTTATTTATCTTATTTCACTTTAACACCAAAAGAAGGTTTTATATGTTAAGTAGCTAAGCACATCAGTAAATTATCCCATAATCATTTTCCTGTGAATGCTAAACCATTTATAAAAACAATAAGATGTTTACAGATTTACAGCAATACATTGCATATTTATTTGTTAGGTGTAAGAGTGGTTAATCACAGAAATTAAACAATGGTATCAGAGCAACCTCCGAAATAACTCTTTAATGACATACCTGGCTGTCTTGAAAAAGGTCTTCTTGGCGTTCCCCAAGGTCTTCAATCAGGCACCTGGCCACTGCATTCCTTTTTTCCAATACTCTGGGCCTGTGAGGAAATGCATTTTAGTGAGAAGACTTATTTCTGCATTTTCATATTCTTGAATGAAACATTTAAATAAATGTACCTCATCAATTGTGCTCAAAAGAGGGCGCATCCTGGAGCCAGCATCTCCTCCTTTGGCACGCATCAGCTGGAGCGAGTGGTGTTACCCATCCAGTTTCAGCATCAAAGTCTCTTCCAGTGAAAGAGTTGTTATGTGTCGGAACTCCTCCTTGATCTAATAAAAAGCATAGGGGACAACACTCATTACTCACAACTCTGACAACAGTGAGTTGAAATGGGAAAAAATAAACACAATTAAACATTTATATGTAGAAAAATCCTAAAATATATAACAATGAGCTTTGGCTCTGCTCCGTGGTAATCTATCCAGTCCTCACGATAATATACAGTAAGTTTAATGTAAACATAAGTCTATAGGCTATTGCTGTAGCTATACTTCAAAAAAGACAAATTAATCATAAATCATTATTACTGTCGCTTGGCTGAATATACGATGGTTATTTTTCACTAAGAGATAGTCGCGAGATAGTTGTCTCAAGAGGTTTCTCAATACTCAAATGTCCCCTCCTCGACTCCTATCCTCGACTCCTCCTCGAGACTTAGTCCCGCCCACAGGAGATGCGAGCGGAGGACTGAGGAGGGGAACCGAGGAGCGGTCATTTTAAAGAGACGTCCATTAATGATGACAGGAGGCACAGCAGCCCTCTGTCTGATGGACAGATGTGTTCATGATGACTTATATATTTACTTTTAATTCATTCACAGTGCGGTATAATGAGACAATAACAGGCTACAGATGCGGACATATACACACACACACATATATTTATATAAATATATACAATTTCAGAATCAAACAAGTATGAGAGCACTCTCATAATAACGTAACACAATCAGAGACTGGATATATCCCCCCCCCCCTCTCTCTGGTCGCTGAAATGGGGAATTGAAATTACGGGCCAAAAGTTGTATTTACAAGTATTAAAAGTAGCTAAGCATAGGACACCAAACCAACTGAGACCCGTCTGTCCGCCACATCTACACACTGTACAACACACACACCTAGCTCCTAAAGCATAATCAGGCTACAGCCGTTGTGTATTTTATTATGTGAAGCACTAAATGGTCTTAGAAAATATCGACTCTTTGTTTGTAGATATCTACTAAACTACAGCATACAAATACAGAGAGTAATGTAGGCCGGTTCTACTGAGTGATATATATTTTACACACTGCTCTGCTTTCTGCACGGACCACAGCTGTTGTCACTGTAAACATCGCGTTGCCGTTCAAGCAGTTGCTAAAATAATATCATTTGAATGTGTCCCCCGCAAGCCGTTACTGTACTCAATACTACTCAACCGGGTCAGTCATGTCAACATGTCCATTGGATACTGTGTGGAAAATAACATTGGACAAACACACCTTATATAGAGGACGACCAACTTCAAAGGTTGATTTAAACGAATGCTGCCTTCCGCGCGCTTTTCTTGTTAGTACTTAGCTAGCAAACAATAGCCTTCTCTGCTAAGCATGCACGATGCTAACGTGAAACACAACTTGAATGTACCCATTCATATATACTAACAATGCTCACTTATATACCTTGAGTAGGCTACAATTTAAATGATTTGCTTGGATAATATATACTACACTCCAAAATCCTTTTTTACAGTGTACCATCCTACCTACAGAATATTTTAATCCCCTATTGCCCCTCTAGGGCACTAAGATCCCAGAGTGCAGGTCTGTTGGTGTTTCCCAGAGTCAATAAAATAAGATCAGGTGCTAGAGCTTTCAACTACCAAGCTCTGTTCCTCTGGAACCAACTTCCAGTGCTGATTAGGGAGGCAGACAGTGTCCACACATTTAAGAGTAGGCTAAGACTTTCCTCTTTAGTACAGCGTACAGTTAGGACTGTTTTAAACTGCCTTTTAAACATCCTCATGGACCCTTCGTTTTATGGAATTGTAATTATTGTATTCTAACTGTATTTGTGTCATTGTGTTTTTTACCCATTCATTTGGTATGTAACACTCAGACAATAGACCAATACCTGTTCATTAAAGAATCACTTCCTTCGGTGAAACACATTTTGAATTTGAAGGTACTGGTGTCTCTTAACAATGTTGTTCACACTTGTTATATGCAAATCCATTTACCATAGAAGGCCAACCCGTAGATATTTGGCTGAATGACCAAACACCGAAATGACGTTATATACTTTTAAGCTTGATACTCTTCCCTACTCGCTTGGACCACACCCATGTTCTACATACTTGGTGCATACTTGGCCTTCAATTGGACACAACTGAAACCATGTAAAGTGTTACGACTGCATCTTGACGACCTAGCACTGATTTGATCTGACATGAGAAGAATATTTGTTTCCCGTAAAGTCTCAGGTTCTAACCTGCAGAGCAAGTCCTCCAGCTTTGATGCTTTGTGTCCCTTTCTCATGTGTAATTACCACTGGCACCATCGTAGCTAAAGAGATTGTTGCTGACATTGACCAAACACATCATTAGATCAGGTAGGGATTGCGTGACTTGCCTATGGGTATGTTTACAGTCACCAGGCAGATGGAGGGATTTGCATAAACAACTACAGAACAGGAAACCATTTTCTATCTTGCTCAACTATTTCCTTCAAATTCTGTCAAATGCTGCTTGCGTCAAATAAACTGTCTTTAAAAATAATCACTATTAGGAAGAAGGGAGTGTCAGATTTAGGAGTAACCCTAACCCTAAGAATAATAAAGAAATATTACTGCAAAGTTATACCTATAACTTGTATTGTATATTCTATTATCGGATGAACAGTTTCTTCTTAAACATCTGACATACCTTTTAAACTATATTGGCTAACAGTAAAACAAAAAAAAGTCAGAATTCAATGATGATAATTGTGTATTATTACAGTTGATGAAGGGGTGGGGCTGGGGTCTCTAAAGTCACAGATGAATCTTGATTGGGCCAAATTTGACCTCGAGTCACCCAAAACAATTCTGCTGGGTCTCCCCAGACCCGAACACCACATGATATATTTTTTTTTCAGAGACCTTCAGACTTGGCAAAATGTGTCAAAATCAGTTTAGTAGTGTTTATATAGAGGATATCATGAAAAAACTAGAGTGTAGTTATTATATAATTTTAACTTGAAACGGGTCACGGGAGACCCGAACACAACATAAGGGTTGAATAGGTGTTACTGTGCTCAGCACTGAGTCAGTTCTGGTGTTTTGGGTATTGTCTAATCTTTTACCTGTATTGCTGAGGACACCACAGACTGTGAGGCTTTCAAAAAAGGCCTAAAAACGCATCTTTTTAGAATAGCCTTTAACTAGATTTTTAAATCCCCCACATTATGCCATGCCGGCATGAATTTCACATCTTTTATTATGTTGTTTTAATTGTTTAAAAATTGTTTTTATTGTTTTGTTGTACCCTTTTTAATTTTTAATTTTGTAGCACTTTGAGTTTTGTTTACGCAAATGAAAAGTGCGCTTATAAATAAAATATATTATTATTATTGCTGATAAGGCCACCTCCAGAGAATGCCCCCCAAGGCAAACATTAAAAAGTACCTTTCTATTTGATTATGATAAATCTACCTATTGTTCTCTCTGTGAAAATATATGCTTTGTTCCCCATGATGAACAGGCACAACGGCACAAAGGCTGATAACATCAGACAAGGAAGCTGAGGGAATAAACCAGTTGAGCCACTACCAGCATTCCCTTACTATATTACAGGTGCAGCGTGTTTATCATCGCTCCACTTGCTGGTTGACAGTCTTCACACTCTGCTCCAGTGAGTCCAAAACATTAAAGTGGATAAACAGCAAGAAGAGAAAGAGCATGGTAAGAAGCTAACCATGACTTTGAAAATGGATATTTGTTGGGACTTTATTGAATACTTTTTTTTAGTGTTTCACAGGACTGATCTGAGCTAGCATTCGTAAATGTGTGTGTTAGTGTGAAAGGATTTTGGTTGCGGTGAAATCACGTCCCCTGAGTTCTGTTTGGTTTGGCTGATCTGCATCTGTGTTTGCTCAGGCTGCTGTATTTGCTGAGTGTTTTCTGTGACATGATGTTCTCTTAATAACTGAAAAGACAATACTAATCAGATACAATTATTCCTTCACATTAAGTCTGTCAACATAATATCACATTTATCCATCTTTAGGGATCAAGATTTGTTTTATATGAACATATTAATATGTAATCTTTATCATTTGCATATACAAAAAAGGTGCCATTTTCGTAGTATTAACATCTGTATTTTTAAAACTTGATGGCTCTTTTCAAATCAAATCAAGTTTTATTTATATAGCACATTTAAAAGCGATTTTTGGTCGAGCCAAAGTGCTGTACATATAAAAAAAACACATTACTAAAATCACAATAACAATTACTTTATCTTCTGCAAAATTGTTATTCATGAATAAAACAATGTATATATTTATTGGAATAATCAACAGAAGTTGAAAATATATTTTAAATTCCAAACCACCAACATTAACATTGACTAATGAAAAGAGCTTTAGGCACTAAAAAGGAAACATAGAGCCAAAGAGAAAGGCATACCTTCTGTATTCTTAGCAACTTGTCTTATTTAACTCTTTATTATGAAGATGTTTTATTGTAATATTGGAAAGCAATTGTGCTATGGGAATAAGTTATAGTTTTTACTTACCTATAAGTACCTGTTTCATACCATTAAGCTTCAAGATCTATTTCCTTAAGGGGAATTTAGTAAAGAATGCAGCAACATGATTGACCTAAAAAGACAAAAATGGAACAAAATGACACCTTTTCTCATTCCTGTCAGGCCGAGCTATTATCAGGTTGTTAAGCTTCGTGAGCATACGTTTTCCAGCACTTCTTTTTTTCTTTTGTATTTTTTCAAAGCAATATTTCGTATTTTCCTCACCGAATATCCCGTTTTTCTAATGCTCATTATGATGGAGGTCTCCTTATATGGCTATGGCTTGGTGCAGTGCATGTGTGTGCAATTTAGAGACGGTTGTTGTGTCTTAAATCCCACTTTATCAGTGCTCTACCCTTATTGTCCTTTATTTATTCAAATGTTCCAACATAGGGCATGAACATTAATCAATTTCTGTTGTGGAGTGATTTTTCCTGTTCGCCATTAAAGGCAAAGGTGCCTGCCCTAAAACCAGTATTTATATCTGAAGAGGGTAAAAACTTGAAAACATAAGCAGATTGAAGATACAGACAGAATGTTCAGGAAGTTCAGATTACTTAAATCAGGTACAAGCAGTGTCAGGATATCCGCCAATCACGCAAACAAATAGGGGTCCAAACCCCGGGTCAGAAATGGGAAGATTAGATAACTGAGAAAATACAAACAGATCTCGGAGACCTTGGCCGTACACACCAGACTTTTTTACTTTTCTCTGTCAGGTGTTTTCCCACTCACGGAAAAGGATGACAGTCAGCAGGTGTAGCTGCCTTACTGTGTGCCTGCGCACGCATTCAGGTAGGCTTGCCCTGATTGGCCGGCTACGTTTATACAACTTCAGTGTGTGAACACTCACATATCATTGATGAGAGTAGTACCCATAGAGTCCAGTAGAGGGTGGAGCCTGTGTGAGATTACATTACATTGCATTTAGCTGACGCTTTTATCCAAAGCGACTTACAATAAGTGCATTCGACCAACAAAATACAACCTTGAAGAAAACAGAATCATATAAGTACATCAGGCTTCATAGAGCAAAAACATTTCAAGTGCTACTCAACTGGCTTTAGATAAGCCAGCCCTTTGTTAGTATATAAGTGCTTTGTTAATAAATCTATCGCTCGAAGTGGAGTCGAAAGAGATGAGTTTTCAGTCTGCGCCGGAAGGTGTGTAAGCTATCTGCTGTCCTGATGTCAACGGGGAGCTCATTCCACCATTTTGGAGCCATGATAGCAAACCCACGTGTTTTTGCTGATGGGTTGATGCAGAGCGGAGTGCACGTGCTGGGGTGTACAGTTTAACCATGTCCTGGATGTACGAAGGGCCAGATCCATTCACAGCATGGTACGCAAGTACCAGTGTCTTGAAGTGGATTCTAGCAGTTACCGGAAGCCAGTGAAGGGAGCGGAGGAGCGGAGTGGTGTGGGAGAATTTAGGAAGGTTGAAGACCAGACGAGCCGCTGCATTCTGGATGAGCTGCAGAGGTCGGATGGCACATGCAGGTAGACCAGCCAGGAGGGAGTTGCAGTAGTCTAGGCGTGAGATGACGAGAGCCTGGACCAGAACCTGAGTCGCTTTCTGAGTCAGCTGGGGACGTATCTTCCTGATGTTGTAAAGCGTGTATCTGCAGCAACGGGTTGTAGCAGCGATGTTTGCAGTGAAGGACAGGTTGTTATCTAGGGTCACACCCAGATTCCTTGCAGTCTGAGTCGGGGAAACAACTGAGGTGCCGATGTTGATTGTTAGGTCAAGAGTGGGACAATCTTTTCCCGGAAGGAAGAGCAGCTCAGTCTTGTCAAGGTTGAGCTTGAGGTGATGATCAGACATCCACTGAGAGATGTCAGCTAGACAAGCAGAGATGCGTGTGACGACCTGGGTCTCTGAGCGGGGAAGGACAGAATTAATTGGGTGTCATCAGCGTAGCAGTGGTAAGAAAAACCATGCGGGCTAATGACTGATCCGAGCGAGTTTGTGTACAGGGAGAAGAGGAGGGGACCAAGAACAGAGCCCTGAGGGACCCCTGTAGTTAATTGACAAGGGTCGGACTCGGACCCTCTCCAAGTAACCCTGTAGGTGCGGTCTTTCAGGTATGAGGTGAGGAGGGAAAGTGCAGAGCCTGAAACTCCAAGTTTTTGGAGAGTGCGAAGGAGGATCTGATGATTCACCGTGTCGAATGCAGCAGACAGGTCCAAAAGCATGATGACAGAGGAGAGGGAGGCTGCTTTAGCAGTGTGCAGTTCCTCTGAGACAGCAAGGAGGGCAGTTTCTGTGGAGTGACCTGCCTTGAAACCAGACTGGTGCGGATCCAGAAGGTTGTTCTGATTGAGATAACAGGAGAGTTGTTTAAAGACAGCGCGTTCAAGTGTTTTAGACAGGAACGGGAGGAGAGAGACAGGCCTGTAGTTTATAACACCAGACGGGTTGAGAGTGGGTTTCTTTAGGAGAGGGTTTACTCTTGCCTCCTTGAGACTGTTTGGAAAGTGACCAGAAGTTAGAGAAGTGTTGATGAAATGGTTGAGAAACGGTAGAATATCAGGAGCGATAGTCTGAAGGAGGTTTGAAGGGATAGGGTCCAGAGGACAGGTGGTAGGGCGGGCAGAGGTAATGAGGGTAAGAACCTCACTTGGAGAGAGAGGGGAAAAGGAGGTTAGTGTGTTGGTGAAAGGAGGGTCTGGTGACCCAGCGGTGAGTAGGTGAGTCAGAAAAAGAAGAGTGAATATCATCAACCTTTTTTTATAGATAGAACAGGCAGTCTGTTATTTAGCACAAACCTGGTACTATTACATCACACAGTTTTGATGCAGCTTCACTTTTGTCTTTGCCATGTCCATAGGCATGTTTTGGACATTAACGTCAGAGAAAACCGCTGGAAAATCTCGGTACAAGTGAAACAAGAGTGGGCTGAGAATAGACCCTTGTGGGACACCAGAAGAAGATACAAGCGTATAGTTATAGTTGCTATCCCATATCCACCCTTACCTCGGGACATCTTAAGTTAGTCGATTATTTGAATTACTTTGACAATTTGACTTTTATGAAACACGTGGTTGTTGTAAAAGTTAAGTGATTAAACGCCAAATAGTCGATAAAGTAGTTATCCAAAGCTCTTTATTACTATTACCATATAGGTTCGGTTAATAAAAAAAGAATCACGAGGAGACCCTTGCACACTCCACCCACATCCTACCCCTCTAGCTGTTCCAAACATATTAAAGATAAGGTTTGTTTGCTATCTTATAATTTAGCTTGCCATTTTACTATTTACACATTTTGAACATCAAAGGTTGCCTTTGTATACTGTACAGGTTAACAATGAGTCTGCTCCTTATCATCTTGACACATTTCAAGGTGTGCATATATATACAATTACATCATACGAGATATAATCAGTTCAGTAGCTCTTAAAAAAACTATTGTTTGTTTGTTTGCTTTTAGCAGATGTGATTGACAGTTCTGAGATGAATAGATTACATAAGAAAGATTTCCATTGAATAATAAAGAAAGCATGAGGGGTTTCCTTCATGTGAAAGGATTTGTTTGGCTGCAGTTGAATCATGTCAGGTCATGGCTGTTGGTTACATCAGAAAGTTAACGTACTTCTCGTGTTTGCAACTGTGGGAATTGTATCGCTTTTTTTCCATTAGTATACACATGACATTTAATTTAACTGACGCTTTTATCCAAAGCGACTTACAATAAGTGCAGTAAACCATAAAGATACAAACTCAGGACGACAATAAAAGTTGCTTCAAATAAGCCAGCCATACAGGTGCATTAGTTTCAAAATGGCTCTTCAATTGCTTTTTTTATTATAATTGATTGGCCAAGTTAAAAGCGAAACAGGTAGGTTTTTCAGTTTGTGACAGAAGATATGAAGACTCTCTGCTGTCCTGATATCAATTGGGAGTCGTTCCACTATTTTGGAGCCAGGATAGCAAGCAGGCTGTTTTTGTTTAGGGGTTCCTGGTTCCAACTCGCAGTGAAGTGAGAGCAAGCCAATTGACTATATGTTTATTTCCCAATCAGGGTTGGGTCCAGTTCTAGGTTATTTTCCATCTGATTTGGAATATGTGTGAAGATCAGTTTGGTACTGCTTTTTGCCTAACGAATAATAATGTTTCCTTCCATCCTTGTCTGTAGTTCAGGAACCATTGTGAGAAGTCTTGCTCCCGCAGTTAAAAAAAGTTCAACGAAAAAGAAGAGGATTTGTTGAAATAAAAAGTTGAATACACTTTTGGAAACAACATATAAGCAATCCAGCTAAAACAAATGCTCTAGAAAATACTGCTCTATGATCTGAGGCTGCTGCGTGGCTTCTAGGAACCAGAAAACTGCAAGAGACCAGAACCAGGTTAACAGGCTTTATTATCTAATGCCAAGGCCGCCGTAGCCACACCCTACTGCCAAGCTGACATGTCAAATACATTCCAGTGCCTTCAATATGTTTCACACTCTTCAAATTCTGAACTAGTCTCTTAATCTTCTTAAAATTGATAAATCTTCTGTTGTTGTGCCATCCAGCAACACTGGATCTTGTTGACTGCCAGCCAACACTATGTGGGAGTGTCTCTGTCCAATGCAGTTAACTTGAAGAGGATAAGTCATTAAAGGTATGTTTACTTGAAAACAACGTGAGGTTTTGTCAAATTGTCTGTAAATAAAAACTACACTATCTATTTCACTTTTGACATGACATAGTACGGCAGGTCGATACAAAAATTCACTCCCCCAGACAAATACATTTTGGAAATTCATTACATAGAAATTAATCAAATATAATTTATATAATTGATTAAAGAACAAGTATATAAATGTGTTGGTTTCCCAGCTAAACTTTATTTGGATAAGTAAATATAGTTCTTCTAAAATATAGCTTGTACACATTTCTTAAAATGGTGGCCAAACCCAAAGTCATGATTGGAAATGCATCTTTATAGGCCTATACAGATGAATCCAATGATGTAATAAGATAATTATTAGGTTAAGAAACCCTCAACAATGCGCTTGACCTTTATTTGTTCTGTGGTATAAGAACAAGGTATAATTATGACAGTGTTCAATATCTATGTAATAAACAATGTAAAGCTGGGTGGTATGATTATATAATGTTTTTTTTCTTTTCTGTCCCACTTTCTTAAAAGGAATGGCAATATTTAAGACATGCTTGTCCATCTTTGCCCTTCTCCTGACACTAACTATTTTGGAAACAGGGAACTTCATTGAATCTCCAAGTCAGGTTTTACCGGTAGGTCAACGGTGTTTACAATACTGTACAGAACATATGGAATCACAGCCTTCAATACACAAAGCAATTATTTGAACCTGAACCCTATCTGTTGTCTCAGGAACACAATGAAGAAGAATCATGTATACCTCACACCAGGGGGAAAAGGAGTGGTAAGTCTCATTATTAAATATTAAAGAATATTGAATAAAGTATGGAAGTCAGCTTATGGCCTACCTTTACTAAAGGAGGGGGGGCCACCTCATTAAATAATTATAGACCCATCTCAAAATTGCCAGTTCTGGCCAAGGTTCTTGAACGCCTAGTGAGTGAGCAGGTAAGGTGTTTTTATGTAAAATGAACATCCTATGTAAATATCAGTCAGGTTTCAGAAAGCAAAATAGCACCATCACTGCGACAATGAAAGTGGTGAATGATATTGCGGGTGAAAAAAAGCAGAGTTGTGCAGCTCTTTATTGATCTTTCCAAAGCGTTGGATACCGTCGATCATCTTATCCTGAAGCAGAGGCTGGCCAGTGTGAAGTAAAACTTCTGATTTTGCAATGTTGAGGTGGAATGAAGGAGTCTGGATCGTCGTTAGCCAAAGCACTGAGAGTTTATTAAACACAGTACATTAATACAGCCAGGAGGTCACTTAGTTTCACACGTCCTGTGCAGCCACCAAGTCATCTCTGAACACAAAGAAACCACAGCACGCAGCAACATGAGAAGAGGCGGAGCCATGCGTTTACCTAATCAATAGCAGATGTGGGACAATAATCTGTTTGTCCCGCGAAATGCAGGCAGGCCTGGACCCTTCCCTCACAGGATAGGGGGAGAAGCTTTTGACCTGTGACCTCAACTTTCAGAGGAGTTTTGACTTTTAATACAAAGCATGTTTGCAATATCACAGATTCTAAGAAACAATAAGAAACTCTATAATCAAGATCAGATTAAAATATTCTCTTAAAGCCAGTATTGGCATATCCAGCCATGCAGTGGGGTGGTTTGTGAACTTCCTCTCTGAAAGGTCCCAATGTGTTCAGTTTGATGGGCTGTCTTCTGAGTGGTTAAACATTACTAATGGTGTACCACAAGGTGCTGTTTTAGGTCCGCTTTTATTCTCCATCTATATCAACAGTTTAGGTAAAAATGTGGATGAAGCTACTTTACATTTTTATGCGGACGATACTGTGATGTACTGTGCAGGTCCCTCCATTCAGGAGGCTGGTGTTAAATTACAGGCTGTTTTTAATATTATCCAGACGCAGCTCGCTGAGCTGAAGCTTGTTTTAAATGTTGATAAAAACTAAAGTAAAGCTTTTTTCAAAAGCCAAAAAGACACCGGAGACCACTTTGGATATTGTTACTACGCAAGGACAAGTAATTGAAGTGGTTGCCTGTTATAAATACCTTGGTATCTGGCTTGATTATTGTCTCTCTTTTAAACTTCAGGTCAATAAACTGCGTAGAAAGCTAAGGGTGAATATAGGTTTCTTTTTCAGAAACAAGTCCTGTTTCTCACTTGAAGCCAGGAAAAGGCTAGTCTCTGTGACCTTTTTACCTGTGCTGGACTATGGTGATTTGATCTATATGAATGCACCTGCCCATTACCTAATCAAGTTAGATGCTGCCTATCACAGTGCACTGAGATTTGTAACTAACTGTAAAGTATTAACCCATCACTGTACCCTGTATGCCAGAGCAGGCTTGCCTTCACTTACTGTACGGAGGCTCAGTCATTGGTACATGTTCATCTACAAAGCCATGTTGGATAAACTACCTTCTTACATCTGCACTCTGATCTCTCGACAAATTGAAAGTAGCTATTGCCTGAGATCTAACAATGTGGTTTTATTAAATGTGCCAAGTGCTAGGACTGACTTTGGGAAAAAAGCTTTTAGATGCTCCACTAACTTGGAACAGTCTGCAAAAGGAATGGAAACTGAGCAATTTGGTTCCACTAAATGTTTTTGAAGCACGGATAGATGCTATCCAATTGGAAACTGTTGGAACCTGTAAATGTCACTAGCTATGTAAACTGTAGTCGCTGTAAATATGCTGTATGATATGATTTCTGTTGTTTTATGTTTTATATGTATTCATGTGGAACCTACTTGCAGCAGGTCACCCTTAAAAAAGAGATCATTGATCAATGATCTAAATGGGATTCACCTGCATAAATAAAGGTTTGAAATTAAATGAAATATTGGAATAATAACACTTTATAACTGATAGCTAGTTTAAAAGATGTAAAACATGAGAGGTGTGACTGCTGTCCCCGGAATATGTAGTGTACATAGCTTAACAGCCAGATAAACTCCCTCCGTACACCAAGACTCTGAAGACGTGAATCCTTTGCCCACAGGTTTATTGGTATAAGGAAGGTGTGAAACTAAAATAAACAAGACAAAATGTAATCAATTCAATGATCATTTTTACATGCACAAATATGCACAATGGATATATATCAACACAGCTTTAACATGAATTGAATTGCCTCGTTATATTTACTGTAAGCTTTTTAATGTATTTATTTTAATTCTAGAACTCAAACAGTTATAAATGGCATCATATTTTAAACATCTAATCAACCATTTGTACATTTATTCATTTAACTGTCCTTGCATTAACCTTGCACAATATTGAGACAACTCGGAAGATCTCCAGCATTAAACACCACAGAATACAATATTTTCAAAAAATAATCATCTGTAATTGTTAATAACACAAAAATAAACAATACGTATGCAGATGTAGCTGGATTTCTTTACAAACAATAGGCGCGTTCACACCGGAGTACTTTTCCCCGTTTAGTTCCGTTAGTACCCCTTATGTCGCGTTCACACCAAATAGAGTACTTAGTGCCGGGAACTTTTACCCCCATTTTTAGTGCCTGCTAGATTGGTGGTACTATCCTGGTATCAAAAAGTACCAATTTCTATTGGCTGGGCGAATTGCAAACGACGCCCCGTAAAACTCTGAAAAGTCTTTTGAAGCCACCATTGTATTTGCTGGCATTAGCATTATTAACATTAGCATTAGCCCCGCGCACCAACGGAGAGTGAATAACTTATGGCAACACAAAAAAAAACATGGGAGCGGTGGAGTTATGAGGAGGTGTCGGCGTTCTGTGTTAACTGTGATGGTTATTCTCGCGTCCAGGAAAGAGAAGCTTAAAAAGGAGACTAAATGGAGTCTCTGAGATGTTTTCAAATTGGTACTTTAATTAATAAAAAAGGCGCGGTAAAGTCACAAACAGGATATTTGTCCGTTGGAGAGAAAGTCTGCAGCTTCCTCTCCAGTTGCCGGCCGTGCAGAAGAGAGCGTACAAGCATTCGTCCTTCCCGCTTCCTCGCTGTTCGCTCCTCCTCTCTGTGAGCTGTAGTGACGTAAGGGACTTCCCCCTCTCGTTCGTCTGTGTCCGATATCGCGTTAAACAGAGGATTTCGACATTTTACATTCATTGCTTACTTCCACATGCCTTTTCTCCTCCTTATCTCTTTCATAACGTTATATGTAATACATGTTAACGGCGTCAATAGCCACTTTAATGATACTAATGGGCGGTAGTCCCGGATGTCGTCATGAAGGATTTTCAGAATAAAAGCTTGGTATTGAGAACTTCCGGTTTTTTCCAGAATAAAATAGCATTTAAACTGTCGGTATGTTTAAGGTACATTATGCCATAAAACATTGATTTTAATTTCTAACATCTGGCAATTTACTCGCCAACTCCGGGGACTTCGGGTGGCAGTATACGCCGTGAAGTGGTTTGCGGCCTGCCAGTAAACCCAAAGCAGAAGAAAAAGTGACGTCAGCGGCTTCATTTGCGTAATCTTCCCTCAGGAACTTATTCTGGTGTGAACGCGATTGGTACTTAGTGCCCTGAGGTACTAAGTGCCGGGGCACTAATGGCACATTTCCACTGCAGCGGGGTAGCCCCGTTTAAGCGTCCTCGCTCAGGCCTCGGGCTGCCTCAATGGCCGTCCGAGGCCGTGGCGCATTCTCATTACAGTTTAGGACCTGGGGTAGCAACGCAGTGTAGGCGGGGCGATCGGCTGGAACACTTTCACATTTCGAGTTGTTCCGTCGAGCTGCCGCTGGATTTTATCATCCCCAATGAGATGTAGGAACGTCGTCACCTCCTCAGTCGACCACGGTGTGCTTTTCTTTGCCATTTTTGTAGCTCCTCCGTTTACAAAAATGCTGTGTATAAATATTCTGCAAGCTTGCTTCTAGATATATATGCGACGCGAGGGATGATCTCGCGCGCGATCTTGTAACGATTCTCTCTGACCAATCAGCAGTCGAGAGTGTTGACGTCACTAGTTCAGCCCTGGCCCTGGTCTGAGGGAACCACGATTTTATGGGGCCGGAAAAAAGAGGGAAAAAGCACCTGCTAGCCGGCGCTACGCTATATGGAAAGGCCACCAAAAACTGGCCTGGCCGCTTGAGGACGATTAAGGACGCTTAAACGGGGCTACCCGCTGCAGTGGAAATGCGCCATAAGTGCCGGCACTAAGTACGGCAAAGTACTTGGTGTGAAAGTGGCTAATAGCCAGTGTTGGTAACTAACGTTACAAGTAACGCGTTACTGTAACGCCGTAATTGTTGGGCAGTAACTAGTACTCTAACGCATTACTTTTTAAATTCAGTAACTCAGTTACCGTTACTACATGGTGCGTTACTCCGTTACTGCGTTAGTTTTTTTATATAGTCAACAGCCAGGCGAACAGAGATGAGAACTGTACTTAAGTACAGTACTTGAGTAAATGTACTTTGATACTTCCTGTGTCACATGCGGAGACGGGCTGTGGGCGTGTTTGTGTTGTTTACTAACAAGACTATCATGGCGGCGGCGGAGCTCAAGTCTAGTTTCTCCACCTGGAGATATTCTCACTATTTCACTTTTGTCGAGCACAAAGAAAAGAACGTTTTAGTTAAATGTAAGTTGTGTCTTGGTGGGTCAAAGATCCTATCTACTGCCCAAACCAGTCATTCAAATCTCTTAAAACATCTGCAAAAACAACATGCTGGGACGAAGCTAGTAGCTAAAACCACAGAGACTCAGCCGACGCCACTCCACCTCCACCTAAGCAACAGCGGCTGGATTTTAACCAAGGGACTGCTATCCAGGGAAAAGTCGATAAAGCCATTGCACGGTATGTTGTAGAACACATGCAGGCTATTGCTACAGTGGAGTCACCCGCTTTCCGGGAGCTAGTTAGCATGATAGCATGTCCGGGCGGCACACGGCATATGGGACGGAACACTTTTTCCAACTACCTGGAGAAAGAATACACAAAAATGGAAAGCCAGCTAATATCGATGCAATCCAGATTGCATATAATGCATGTCAAGTTGATCAACAGATTGTATTATTCTCCAATGCCACAACAGTACTGAAATGAAGGCTATAAGGGCATTAATGGGAGCCCTTTTTTCAAGTAACGAAAACGTTACTTGTCACAGTAACGCATTACTTTCGAGTGTAGGTGACTAGTACAGTAACTGAGTTACTTTTGACATGAAGTAACTAGTTACTGGTTTTCAGTAACTAGCACAACACTGCTAATAGCACATTGCTCACAGAGCCATGCTTTGCATATTTCCTCTCTAATGATCACCTGACACACCCATCTGATGATGTCATCCTGATTCTTAAAGGGACCACGACCAGGCACAATGGGCACACAGAAAATAGCCCAGAAAATGCATACAATACTACATTTAGCTGTAACAGAACAGTGACTCATCTCATTGAACTAAAAAAAGTAGTTCCCCAAATACCAACTATTAAGAACTTGTATATTGTGTGTGGATGATTTAAAACAACATTTATTTTTTGTATTTATTTCAATCTCTCTAGTGGCTACAAACCAATGGAATTACACACTTGATGTTGTATTGAATGCCTCTGAAGTGGCAATAATTCAGCAGTTTCAGTCCTCTTTGAACAGTTTTCCCATACAACTTAGTAACAACACAGAGATCTCGGACATTACCTTCACAACAGGTGAGTCATTTGAGTAGCTATGTTGACCTTCTTACCAACATATAAACACCTTTTATGCTATACTGATCACTTTTCTTTCATCAGTGTGTTCCTCGACTGCCACTGGCTTCCAGTGTAGATGTGAGGACAATTTTGCTTGGCCATACAGCACATGTGTCACGTATGGAGCCTGTGATTCCATTGTTATTGGCATCTGTACATGCATTGATGCTATTCCAGCTGATGGACAGTCCTGCCAGGCAATATCAGGTGAACAAGTCATCACTTATTGATTTCCGTTCATTGCTAATTACCAGCAGCAGCCTGGTGAAGGAAGAGCTATACTGTAGTTAGGGTCAATTCAATTCAGGGAAATTCAATGAATGTTACTTACATTTAACACTGATTTAAAGGGGCCACGAGCTGACATCTTTTTGAACGTTGACTTAAATGTATTTTGTAAACAAATTACACATAATTTGATTTGGTTTGTTGAAAGCAATAATATTCAGTTTCAATTAAAAATAATAGGTTCAGTAAAGTTCCGGCCCTTAGCCTATCACGTACAATATGTTGGAGCGCTAGCCAATAGATGTCATCATGTCACTATGTTACAGAAGTAAACAAAGAAGTCCAATGGATGCGTTTCAGGAAGGGTGGGGGGGGGGGGGGGGGGGGGGGGGGGACCATTTACATGCACAAAAACCTTTTTAACCCAAGAAAGCATACATTTTCTTTTTGAACGGTCGCAGTGGGTACATTTTTTAAATAAGAGACATTACATTTTTTACATTTAGAGGGATCATTAATAGACCATTAGCTCTAAGATAAAACACATAATTAAGTATTACTTTAAATGACTACAGCTTAATTTGAGTGATTTCTCTACATTGATATGTCCTTTAACCAAAAGAGACCCTAAATCATGTTGTTTTTTTACTACAGGGCTTCTGGCTCAGGTTGAGTACGATGTGGATGTTAATCTGAATTTTACTGATCTTGAGACCGTGGACGCCCTTAGAAGCATCCTGGACGCAGGTGGCTTTTCTCTAGCCTTGGGTCCAACTGTGAACGTCACACACATTAACATCACCACAGGTAAGCATGGTGGTAAAAGCATGGGGGGGAAATGTTGTTAGACAAGACAAAGGGCGCCTGGGTATTAAAGTGTACTGTGTCCTTTTCCCGATATTTGACCATGTGATACATTCAATTCAATCAATTCAATTTTCTTTCAAGTGTTTACAGAGTAATGGCTCACGTATTAACTGTGGACAAAGTGCAATGCGAGAATATGCTCTCGTGACCTTCACATCACTAAACTATTTTTGTTTAAACACACTTTATTTTATATTATACAGTCCTCCTCTAAAATTGGGACTTTCCCTTCTCATTGAGGTGAAGCAAGTTTGGAAAGTTCAAGAATGTCCACATACTTTTGAGTGTCAAAAAAATAAAATCCTCCAGGGCTTCTCAGACAGGGCACTAGCAAGGCGTGTGCACAAGTTAAACAATAATATTCTTTACAATTATTAATCTTATGCAAGTTTCATTTTTTTGAATTCCAAGTCTGAAATACATACTGTGTACAGTATGTCCAGAGTAAGGAATGTTTGAACCAAGCGGCAACACATATCTAATTCTCTTGCAGATTGTCTCGTTTGATTATGAATGTAACATTTATATATTTGGAGCAGGCTGGAGAAGGCGGGAGTTGAACTCTGACGTCACTGTCGAGCCGTTAGTGGCCGACTCCGCCTACTAAGGGCTTCTCGGCATCTCTGCAGAATCCTATGGGTGACGTCACGGACACTATGTCCATTTATATATACAGTCTATGGTTTGAACAGACCATTACTCCTCAACACATCATCTAAAATATGTCCCATTGGACCTAAAGCCTATTCGTCCAGCACCTAGAAACCAAACATCTAGTCTCAGTCCAAGGAACAGAAGTAGGCTACATGGCTAATTATTAGGCAGAGTGGTGTCATCAGATTGGGCCTGCCAAGAGTTTTTTTTCTGTTGGCAAGTTTACTTTGGCAAAGGGTAGAGTAGAGCAGGTCATGCCTTTCCCAACAGGAAAAATATCATGAAGGTCCATCAGTCTGCATAACAATAATCTATTTGCTTCTGTTTGTTGCGCAGGGAGGGTTTATCTTTGGAGTGAAGGGGCCTTCAAAACAATAGGTGGTTGGTTTTTGGGGTGTTGTGTGCTGTTGGACATATTGGTTCAATGGGACATCTTTCTGACCATTAAGCTGCTTTCACAAGATACACGTCGAAACGGCTCTGCACTTACGTGGTGTATTTTTTGGAGAGAGCAGTGCTGCCCGACTAGGCGTAAGCACATCACTCAAATTTGTCGCCAAGCACGGCTCTCAAAGGTCAAATAATTTAAACGTCAACCTTGTTTAACGCTGACCTTCACAACCAATCAGATGCCAGCTATGCTATGCTAGCAGGCAAATCTGCTCTTTTCTCACCAAGTGGTTGGGTGCAGAGCCTTGCAGTGAAAACAGCCAGTATGGTTACCTCCCGTGCTACCTGGTGCCGCTACATACAGCTGTCATCTGATTGGTTGTGAGTCCAAAGGTCAATCATATGACAAACCAGGTAAAATTCTAAATAATTTCAACTTGGAATGCATCGCTTGGCAACAATTTGGAGCCATGCACAACACAGAAGGCAGTTATTCCGCCTCTTCAGGTGGCATCGCTCTCTCCATAGAAACACAATGTCAGCGCAGAGTCGTTTTACCGTGTATCATGAGAATGCAGCGTTCTGGAATGACTGGCCTTCAATACAATAAGCACGACGCTATAAATCAAGTAGGCTATGGATGTAAAAAACTGCTGCATATCATTTACGTAGTTGGCTGTGGCTCAGGATGTAAAGTTGGTCGTCAACTAATCCGAAGATCAATGGTCCTGCTCCTTCTGTCTGCATTGAAGTGTCATTGGGCAAAGATACCATGGCAAAGTATCTCCCAAGGCACAGCAAAATGTGGAAATAAGCATTAGATAGATCCTCATGAGTCCAGTTTGTCAACTTGTTAACCCTGCTATCAGTTTATAAATGTGTGTGAATGGATACATCTTGACATGTAAGGCAGAGGAACTTTGAGTAGTGGTAAGACTATAACTGATTATAATTAGGGATGCACGATATTAGGAATTATGACGTCATCTCGATAAACCCGATACCAGTATTAATAGCCCCGATAAAAAATATATTTTTTGGGTAAAAAAAAAGAAAACAATACTGCGGTGTGGGTGGATTGGGATGAGAGGCGCTTGTTTTTCACTCGGCTCCTCCCGTTTTGCCAGTACTGTGGTATTAGTGGTTTAGGAAGAGGGGAGTTCTTCACAAATCCAGCGCTCCCTAACTCGTGAAGCCAGGACAGTAAACAAACATGTCGTCGGTGGTATGGGCGTTGGAGCTATGTGCAACTCAAGGCATATGCTCGAACCGGAGCTGCCTGGACGCTGCAATCATGTTGCGCACTATCCGAGCTGAGTGTGCTGACTTCTCGTACAATGTCCCACTGTCTGGCTTCCTGCATAAAGTCAAGTGCTCGGCGTAGTTGTGGCGAAATGTCGCTCCTCTGTTTTCATTTAAACAGCTCCATATATCCGTTAGCGCAGCTAGCTAGCACCAGATGCTAACAACAACAATGCACGTAAGGTCTCTCTCTCGCTCGGGCCACACATACACACACCCTCCCGGTCCTCCAGATGGCCAGTCGGTGCCTGCCGGTGAGCGTGGAAGTGTGGTCTGCCACAAGCGGGCGGCAGGAGCGGGGCAGTCAGCATCAGCTTGTAGATGGTATTTTAAACTCGATGCTCTCTGAAACTACGGGGCGGCCGAGGAAAAAAATACACATGCGTTAATCGAGTTAAAATAATTAGTGTCGTAAAACATTTTTTGTTATCGGTATCGGTTTCAAAAAAACAATATCGTGCATCCCTAATTATAATGTCTGTTTAATTGTTTTTCTTTTTAATGTAGTTTGTTACCCAAATGGTACAAACTTCCAGTGCAGATGTGAGGAACAGTATGTGTGGTCATTAAGCAACTGTAATACATACGGAGCCTGCGATGACATCATTGACAACACGTGTGGGTGTATCAACAGTATTCCTACCACTGGACAATACTGCGTGCCACAGACAGGTGATACACTTTTACATTTAAAGTAACATCACACATGTGGAAATAATATTTATTGGTATTTTTTTCGGGCACTGTAATCTGTATTTGGTTATTTAAAAAAGTATTTGTGTCCTTTCAATTCTCTCTCACTCAAGCTGACCTTGTATTTAATAGGCCTACTATAGGATTACAAACATGAGCAAATCCAAATGAGCAAACAGAAAATAACAAACAATATGACAAGATGAAAAGAAACAGAGAGAAACATGAATACCTATTCTTGACCATAATTGCATTTCTTCACTCAGCAATGTTGCCCAGATGTCATGACACGACCTAGATTTGGAACAAATTACTTACAAATAATTGTCTCTAATTCGACTCTCTTTTTCTACAGTACCTTTAGTATTTTATGAATACCAGATTATTATCGAGGTGAAAACCAGCGATGCGGATCAGCTGAGAAACGTCCTGAACAGTTTAACTTTTCCTGTCCAGATCAGCCCCTCAGTTAACATATTAGATGCCAATATCACCACAGGTAAGAACAAATGCATTATATCCTTTTTTAATATCTATTTCAAACTTCTGCCTTTTTCACAAGAGAAAATATGTTATTCTCTTTAAAGTTTGCAGCCAAGATAACACTGGGTTTCAGTGCCACTGTGAAAATGACTATCTTTGGCCGTGTGATAAGTGTGACACCTATGGGAAATGTGATGGTAATACAAGCAACACATGTGGATGCATCAATGCCATTCCTCCTGATGGACAATACTGCCAGCCTGCTGATCAATACAGTAAGTTGGTTTGCAGGTTTGTTTACTTTTAGGATCGTATTTCTATGTTCTGCCTCTAATACAGTGGTTCTCAAACTTTTTCTGTCAGGCCCCCCCTTTGGAGAAAAAAAAAAGTCGGGCCCCCCCCAACACAAATAGTCAGGCTCAGTGGCGGCGCCAGAGATTTATTTTGGGGGTGCTGTGGGGTAGCTTGACGTTTCATAGAGGGTGCTCAAACATTTAGGGTTTCCCATTAATGTACCGGGCGCTACAGAGGAATGTTCTACTGCAACACTCCCCACGCACACACACAACGTACCCGCGACTGTTACAATGAAGGCTCGATAATCAGCTCACGGCATATAGGTGTAAGCAGGGGTCAAGTGTTATTTTTATAGGTGGTCTGTGGACCTCACATAGGGGGGTCCGGGGGCAAGCTCCCCCGGGAAGATTTTTAAATATTGAAGTTAAAAGCATCAATCTGGTGCACTTTGAGAGCAACATGAAGAGATCTATGGATACATCTCTCAACACAGAACTTTAAACAGATTTACTTTTTCTTTATGGATATTTTACAAAGCGGATCGCGGATCGCCGGAGCTGTATTAGATCAACATTAACATGCATTGTAGTTGTAAGTGCACTGCCTTGCTGCCTGTTGCACCATCCTTGATGGAGCATATGTGTGGGCTGGACCTGTATTTTACAGAAAAGGAGTGAGCAGAGAGGTTAAAGTTGTCGATTCTTGTTCAGTTTTCTATGACTATCTCCCTCACCCTCTCAGACTTTCAGTTGTGCACGCTACTAAAGAGACGCGCTACCATGAAAACCAAACAATGGTGTAGCTGTATTAAAGTCCGAGTGGAAACAGTCCTGAGTAAATCTGATTTTGTGCGAAATCGGGAGAAATATGACCCCGGGAGGAAACCGGGAGAGGGCTATGAAATCGGGAGTCTCCCGCGAAAATCGGGAGGGTTGGCAAGTATGATATGGACATAAACGCGAGTGAAGTCTAATCGGACAGAAGAGGAGACACGCAGCTCTGCATGATAACCTGCAGCACCGCCCGCTGTGATGGAGCGATGAGCGGAACAAAACACACACTTCAAGAAGTTAGATCATCACCGTTAGCTATTTTAATTACCCCAACCATGCATGCGCGAGAAGTCTTCTTCGCTGCTTTTGGTGTATTTTGTGGAAGAAGTACAGCGCCACTTACAGGCCCAGCATATGTACTACAGCGTCTCCAGCGGTTGGAGCTGTCTCGTGTGAACGGATACGTTTCTGGTGCATATTGCGTGTGGACTTCTTTGATAACGATTTTGGTGCATTTCCGTTATCGTCCTTGTGTGGCTGCAGCCTAAGATGACTCGACTCTTTTAAATCGTTATATCCAGAAAATGAAGTGAGTGATATTCAAACGTTCTGGTTATATAATAAATACAAATGATAATGTCATGTAAGCAATCCATCATTTTTATTTTTCCCTTTGGTTATGGCAACAGACTTTTCTTTATCTTTCTTGTACATCTATTTTTATTAGCGGTAAAGCAGATACAACGCACAATAATCAAATGTAAAGATAGATTCCACTAAAGCGCAATATTGTCATATTTCTTTTTTTTAAATGTCTATAGGTATCATGATATTATTATCACTAATTCATTTGGTCACATTTATTGTATAGTATAACCTCTTTTTATATTCTGATAGCCCTTTTTCAAGCTCATAAAATATGCATCATATAACAAATACAAGCAATTATCTAAGAACTCCTCTCTCTTTCACTTACTACAGATGTTACAGCTTGTCCTCCTTCAACAACTCCATCACCAACAACTCTTCCTTCAACAACTCCATCACCAACAAGTAAGACTTAAAGGACAGTATTTTATAAAACAAAAACCAAATGACAATATTATTTACAAGTGAGACATCAACTGTATTTGTTTTTCTTTAAAATTCTCTCCCTGCAGCTCCTCCTATTCTCTTTGAATACATCATTTTGGTTGAGTTGAACACCACAGATACTCTAATAAATCAACTGAGTACCTTTCTGAGAAGCATCCGTTACCCCTTTATCCTCAACAACGCACAAATCCTTGATGTAAACATTTCTACAGGTGCAGATACAATACTGTAAATATGTGAAATATGTGTTGGTGTTGTCAACCCTAAGTGTGAATCTAAAAGTTGTAAAACACACTTTACTAATATGACAGTTAGAAAAACTCATTACATGTGTGAAATTCATTGTGTTTTTGTTTGGTCTCAAGTTTGCTCTCCGAGCAGTTCTGGTTACCAGTGCAGATGTGAGGATCAGTATCGTTGGTCATGTGACCAGTGTTTACAGTATACATCCTGTGACAACATCACTGGGGACACATGTGGATGCATCAATGCCATTCCTCCTGATGGACAATACTGCCAGCCTTCTGGTCAAAACAGTAAGTTGGTCCTCAGTAATCGCTGCATTCTGGCCAGCATTTGATGTGCCTTATTGTCAAAATCTTTATCCTTAATTGCATGACAATCCCTGTGTCTCACTATGTAATTGCTTGCTTTTGGGTTGTCGAAAGACAGAAGCTTGCCTGAGTCAGAAGGACAACTTTGGAAACACTGCCATAAGTTGTAGAGAATCTATAATTGTATGTCATTGTTTTTAACTCAAATGTACGTAAAAAGGATTAGGGCCACTTATGATGACCAAAAGTGATTTTTGTTTGTGCCGGTAGTCCCAATTATGATATTCAACTTTTTTTCTGAAACTTAAACGGAAATCACCTTTGGGTCACATCAATCGTACAGTATGGGGAATAAAAAAATTCTGATTCTTAAAATATGCATCTTATCAAATGCAGAAGCAATTAACTAAGAACTCCTCTCTCTTTTACTTCTTACAGACTTTACCCGTTGTCCTCCTACAACAACTCCATCACCAACAACTCCTCGTATCATAACTCCAACACCAACAAGTAAGACTTAAAAGACAGTATTTCATTTATTCATTTTGAGCAGTTTGGATAATGCATCTTTAAGTTACAACATCTTCTTGTTTAATAGCGATTGTCTCAAAATGGCGCTATGGTAATGGAATTCCTTGTTATAGTAATAGTATGTAATCCCCAATTAAATAGAAATTCTCTGCTGAGTGCAATGATGCTTTCCACAACAGTCTATGGCAAACGGTTCATGATATGTTAGGGGGCGTGGCAAAAGTGTGGGGGCGGGGCACATCGTTACTAATGCCACAGGAACTCACTGTCTACGACAATGGGTTCATGGTTCATTTGTTATGAAAGGGGTTGGGGGAAAACAACGATAGGTATCTGACTTCACCATGTTGGCAGATATTTTCTTAGTTGTCTTGTCAGATTCATTCTTCAGCTTAACAAAAATGAATGTAAAATTGTGTTTTTAGTCTCAACAACAGTCACTAGGACCGGGGTGAACACTCCAACACCCACATTGTCAGCAAAAATAAGTCAGTGCAAAATAATAATTGTTAGATTACTTTTCCGTGTTGTTGGTTATCGTCTAAATTGACTTGTCAAAGGAATTCTTCTTAACAAACAATGGGTATGATATTGTTCTTTCAGACTGAACAACCGTTGCTTCAATTGCTATAAACTCCACACAAGCTTATTTAAATTCAGCTGAGTTGAGTGTGTCCATGATGAGGATTGTTGAGATGATTAAGAATGTATATGCTCGAGATGAACAGTGACTGAGGACCTGTAGGGTTTGATCAGAATAACTCAAACAGTGTTCTAAGGAAATGCTTGAATTGCTGTTGACTTTTTCTCAATGCATTAGGCCATTATTCCTGTTTCGGTAAGAACAAATGGGTTTTGAGGTCATATAAACAAGGGGGGACATGTAGCGTGAGCATAGAGAGCAGATGCAAAGGCTGAAAAGGTCAGAAGTGAGTGGTAGTTGTGTAACGTTAAGAGCAGGTGCCTGTTTTTGTAAGCTTTTGGTCAACAGCTAAACATGGGAATGGGAAATAAAAAGACAGTGTTGGCCAGTGACTAGTTTAATGGTAGGACTGGTATGGGATGGAGATCCGATTCGGGGACTTGTCTGATATTCTGGAAAGAAAACCAATACAATGAATCAGCAATGATGTGGTGGTAACCAGAAATGTGGGATGCCCAAATAATGAACTGGTGTTGAGCTGAGATTCAAGTAAGTCTGCGCGGGAGCTGCATGATGTCTAAAGAACAAGATATATATACTTTAAGGATCTACATGAAGGATCAATGTGTGTTTTCTGTGTGGACGAGTATGGATTTCCTAGACCACCAAAGAACAACAGTTATAAGAATGGCTTCTAGCACATGGAGCAAATATAAAGGCAAGCGGGCCTGTGAGGCGAGATCAATATCCTCAGGTTTGGTGATAAAGAGCTCGTAGAAGAAGGAGATGCAATTCCAAGACAACAAATCTTGCCAAAGACACTTTTCCATCTTGCATGCATCTTCCAGAACAACTCTATTGTAGACTTAGGGAGGGCTGCAGCTTTATGCAGGTTGGACAGGAAGGATTTTGCTTGAGGAATGGCAAATGGCATAATTGATGTAACCAAGTTTGTGCACAGATGGAAGGCTGACAGGCAGGTAGGCCATCCAGTTACTTTAGCCGGGCCGGCTCAGATGATTGGTCGTGCTTTTTACAGCGCTACGGCTTCAACAGATGACATTTTTTTATGGATTTGTTGTCAAAGCACTTAAGATATTCATTGCTATCGGGATGTTAAGAGCATTCCATGGAATATAACAACAAGTATATCTCGAGCCGGTTTTACCCCACCTTTAAGCATACGAAATTGAAGAAATTAAAATATGTTTACAACACTCATAACTCAACCAACTACTGCTGCTGCTACCAAGGCTACACCGGCAGTAATAACTACGACTGCTCCTGGGAAAGGTCTTTTTTAGGAATTGCAAATGGCATAATTGATGTAACCAAGGAGGGCTACACGCTTGCATTTGCTGCACCTGTCAGCCAGCAGATAGTTTGACAGAATCAAAGTCTGAGGTAAGGATAGCAAAATGACAAAAATACTGTGATAATGCTTGAGGGCATGATTCAAGTCTGTCGTCGAGTAATTCAAGATGGTGCTCAGATGTGTTGGTCGGGTTCACAGGTGATCATTGCTGTTTTTAAGGCTCGTCCCTGCTCTTGAACCTAAATGTACGAATGATCTACTTGACTTGTTAAGGTGTGTATTCTTCAGCTTAACCAACAAAATTATGACATGGTCTTTTCCAACAGTTGTGACCAATACAACAACCACAATGTCTCCAACAACCACAACGTCTCCAACAACCACAACGTCTCCAACAACCACAATGTCTCCAACAACCACAATGTCTCCAACAACCACAATGTCTCCAACAACCACAATGTCTCCAACAACCACAATGTCTCCAACAACCACAATGTCTCCAACAACCACAATGTCTCCAACAACCACAATGTCTCCAACAACCACAATGTCTCCAACAACCACAATGTCTCCAACAACCACAATGTCTCCAACAACCACAATGTCTCCAACAACCACAACGTCTCCAACAACCACAACGTCTCCAACAACCACAACGTCTCCAACAACCACAAAGTCTCCAACAACCACAACGTCTCCAACAACCACAACGTCTCCAACAACAGGTAAGATAAATATACCAATTGTTACATTACATAAGATACATATTCAGGATTTATTATTACCATTATCAAGCTGTTGTTTAAACAATTCAGTTAGTCTTTAAGTTTCAGAGATGTTAAATGCTTGTCCAGTATTTATGTATTCAAAATGTTGTATTGGCAAAAACCTTCTGGAAACATATTGATTGAACCCATTAAGTCATCTCTCCTAATGGGAGAGCTGAACATACAAGTTGTATTTATCTTTTTTCAGATCCAAAAAAAGTGTTAAAATGTTTAACAAGTTTAATCAGAATATTTGGAATCCTGGTTAGAGAATCAGAATAAAATAAAATTGAATTAATTAATTGACCCAACATCTATTGACAAAACACATCTTAACACTGCAACACCTAACCTAATCCAGGAATATTTCCAATGAACTTCTTGCTTATAACAATGTAGTCACGCCATGGTATACTGTATTTGAGATACACATACTTTCGGTGCAGTTTAAATGTCTTAAAGCAAGTGATGAGGGCTATAATAACTTGACTCATACTGTCAACAGTAACACACTTTTATAAAATAATCTTTCAACCACCATCATTACCTGTATTTAGCAATAAGCGTTTCGATAACTCGTCCCTTGTTGTTAATTGTAGAACATTTTCTGTAATTCACTTTCACGTAAGGTATTTCCCTCTACAGATGATCATACTTTATTACAGTTAAAGGTGGGGTAGGTCATTTTGGAGAAAGCAGCTCGAGTGCGCTAGAATTTGAAAATACACGGCCGGAAAAAATCAGCCACTTCCTTCAGACTTCCTCACAGAGCCCCTCCTCCAACACACATAACGCACATGACCAATGAGGGCACGAGATAAGTTTGTGCCCAGATGGGAGGCTGACAGGCAGGTAGGTCATCCAGTTACTTTAGCCGGCTCAGATGATTGGTCGTGCTTTTTACAGCGCCACGGCTTCCACTGATGACTTTTTTAATGGATTTTTTGTCAAAGTACTTCAGATATTCATTGCTATCGGGATGTTAAGAGCATTCCATGGAATATAACAACAAGTGTATCTCGAGCCGGTTTCTCAAACTTACCTACCCCACCTTTAAGCATACGAAATTGAAGAAATCAAATATTTTTACAATACTCATAACTCAACCAACTACTGCTGCTGCTACCGAGGCTACACCTGCAGTAACAACGATGACTGCTCCTGGGAGAGGTCTTTTTTATTGACAAAAATGTAGTTATCAGGATCTATGTAGCTCTTTGCTTTATAACATCTCCATTACCTTTTTTTGGTAAATACATATAGATGTGTATCTTTTCCCCTTGGTCACCAAGACTTGAAAGAAACTATTTTCTGATGTCAAGAGTCTTGTAAACTACTTTTCACTGTGGGTTTTGAATATATTTCTGAGTGATAGTATTCATGTGACATCCCTGCAGCCTACATATGCTGATAGCTAAGCTTGTATTAACCGATGATATTACTTTATTATGCAGCACAGGGTTCATTTAAAACACAGGCGAGCCAAACGTGAAAAAAGGGCTTTGACCTCAGGGTGTAAATGGACGTATATGTCATTCATTCAAAAATGAATTGATGAATTATAAATTGCAGTTCTGCTTGAATATAGCTCAGGCTATTTCATTGCTACCTTCCACATGACATCTCAACACTGTTGCTGAAAAGGATATTTGCATTTTATAGAGACATGGGTTTTATACCCTTGATCTGCAAGTCATGCAAACCAAATAAAAAATGATTCACAATTGTGTCCTCTCTTCTCGTGGCTCGCTAGTATATTCTTTAAATCACAACAAACTGAATTGTTTGATCTTGTTTTTATTCTCTTTTCAAATAAATAGGGTTCAATTTGGAAATGACAGTGCAATTAAACAAGACGTTCACAGAAACATTGAAAGATCCAACAAGTGCTGAATACAAAAATCTTAAAGACAACATGACTACATTGGTAAGTGCATTGATAAATACCATATCAAATTGTAACTTGTATTTTCAGTTGAATTGGTAATGTTATGAACCGTATCTCTCCCACAGTTAAACAAGGAGTATGGAGGAATCACAGGGTTTATTGGTGTTTCTGTGACAGGATTCAGGTATGGTAACTCTGGCATTTAAGACATATGGAAGCAGGAAATCTGTACACATTTGACACCACCATTTTGTTTTGTGTTTGTTCTTACAGAGAAGGAAGCATATTTACAGAGTTTGTTGTTGAGACTACAGAGGTTAAAACTGCAGAATTGGCTGAAGCAAATACAGCATTTTCAAAAGCAGTAACCTCTACTATTGCCCCTGTCATTGGCTCTGTCACTGCATTGTACAACAGTAAGTCCAACATAGCTAGTAGGTAATTACATTTGGTTTAACTTGTATAAACACCAAACTGATGTGTTCTACTTTCTCCAAAGGTGAAGATAAATTAAGGATTAACGCCACCATTTATAATGGAAATCGCATGAGACTGGTGTGCGAACCCAGTATTAATGTGGGACAAATAAGTAGTGTTAAGTGGACATTTCGTGGAAGGGTAATTAAGGAGTCTGGAAGGAAACAAATAACAAATTCTAACACAATGTCTGTTCTAACAATAGAGAAAGCCGATGTTGTGGATACTGGTAAGCAAAAGCTAGTAAATATAAGTAAAATATTCTTTTTTAATTGATGCTAATAGACAAATTAAATTGCTGCTTGGACTGGAATGTTCACTATTTAATATACTAATGGTATCATTCTTTTAACTTTTTTTACAGCATACCAATGTAATCATTGTTTTTATTATCTTAATCACAGGAATGTACCAATGCACTCTGATGGGCGACGTATTGCAGTTCAGACAAGAAAGGGACGTGATTGGAGATGATATCAAACCACCTCCCATCATAGTATCAAAGTCTCACATACCCGTTAGATGTCTGGAGGGACAAACAGTACCACTTGAGTGTTGTGTGCAGTCCCCTTTTAAGGTGAAGTGGTTTAAAGACTCACTTACTCTTGGTAAGTTTAAAATGTTTCAGAAAACTTCTCAATCTGACCATACTGAAAACACACATCCAATAACAGTTTATTTTATTAACAACACTGTTAAATGTTCGCAGAACCTACTGTTACTGAAAATGGAAACCCATTCTGTCGCACATATGAATACCCGCTCGTAGCCTGCAGTGGACCAACGTCACCAACATTTACTTGTAAGGTCGATGATCTCGATTATAGACGGGTAACAACATTGACAATTTCCGAAGAACGTAAGTGCAATGTTTCAAAAGTGACTATGCTTTTCTTCCCCAATATGTTGTGTAATACTAATTGATTATTATTTATCTCCTAAGCTTTTACATGTAAAGACGCTGATTATGGGGATGGAAGAGAAGGCGAACTATCTAGTACAGAATGTCCTCCAGGTCAAGTGGGGGAAAAGATTGCGAAGTGTGATAATGGAAAGTGGATATTGTTAGAGGACACTTGCGTTATCAAATTAATCAAGGAGTTGCTTGTTTCTTCAGAGGTAAGTGATCAGCTGGGGATAACAATTCATCCCCATTTTAAATCTATAAAACACACAGTATACCATAAAGTTATTCAAAAAACGGTCCTATGTTTACTAGTTCTACGTAACCAGACATTCCGTGTTGTGCAACAATTGTATCTAGGAACTATTTTCTTTCTAACAAACTACACCTGTCAACTCTGAGACACCATCTGTTCAACTAAAGCATGAAGAAAATCTAAACGTCAGGTTTCTTATAAATCAACTCAACAGCAGAAATCATTACCAGTTGCTCAAGATAATCCACTGACCTTGTGAGAAGTTTCATTTAGTATGTATTGTATTTCATCTGAAGTACATTCGCGTGAGAAAGTGAGAAAAAATGTACTATGCTAATTTGTTATAATATTTTGTATTGTTATAAAAGACCCACGTTTTCGACCAACATCAGCACATTCCATCACGGCTTCTGCTGTCCAGTAACTTATTGTAACTAACTGACCACTGTTTTTATATAAAGTGTGGCTCTGCAGCAACACTTCTTTAATCTTTAAAGGAGCCCTATTATGCTTTTTGAGGGTTTCCCTTTCTTTTAATGTGTTATCTAGTTTTGGGTAAATGGTCTGCAAAGGCTAAATCCTAAAGTTCTCTTCAGTTCTCTCCAATATACTCTTTTTGGTGTGAACGCAAAATTCCAGGCACTAACGGAACTAAACGGGAAAAGTACGGGTAAAAGTACTCCGGTGTGAAAGTGCCTATTGTACGTGATAGGCTAAGGGGCGCGACATCTCTAAGCGATTGACCAATCACAACAGAGCCAGCCAGCTAACCAATCAGAGCAGACTGGGCTCTGGTTTCAGACAGAGGGTGAACATAGGTGCTGCAGCACAGGCAGTATGAGAAGAATAAAGAGCTTTTTGAACATTAGAGCATGGAGACATGTCCCAGTAGACACTACATACTAATATGAAGCTGAAAATGGGCATTATAGGGTCCCTTTAACAGATCCCTTTTTTTGACAGATTCTAGGAGCAAACCCCTGGATTCATGTAGAAGTGCTTATTGTGGCTTACATTTTAAATAATGATGTAGATCATTGTTCATCACTATATCTCTTGTTTACTTGAGTCTTGTGCTAGAGCAGGTTATTTTGTGTGTATGCATAACATGCATTATTTGTATGCTTTGGCTAAAATGACTGTGCTACAGATGCAGAGCAGATGTGTTGTGAAATGATTCTTTTTACTGGCTCCTCCTGCAGCACACAATCATAGGTCGTATCAGCAGAGGGGGAAGAAGTACTCATTTCAATCATGAGAGACGTGATGTATGAAATACATGTTTAATACCGGACACGTGGTATAGAAAATTATGATGACAGATTACAACAATGAATCAACTGATGTTTGGAGATTAGGCCCCGGTTTGTAGGATAATCATTCGGGAGGGGAAAACCGCTCCGATGAACCCCCCGGGGTCTAGACACTGGTGGTGGTGATAATGGTTCGGTCTGGTCTGGAGGAAGAAGGATTAGCTTGGCCCTGAATTAGGATACAGGAGGCGAAGGGGTGGAGGCGGGTTGTGCGTTGACACCTGAAATGACAACTGACAGAGAGGGAAGAACAGATTTAAAGGGTTTAGCAGGTGCAATGATTGCTAGCTGGGGAGTACCGCCCCTGATTACTTAATGGGAGAGGAGCTTGCAGTGACGTGTAACACCAGGGGTATGGTCTTCCTTCTTGAACTTGCGCTAAGCTTCATTTCAATCATGAGACGTGATGTATGAAATACATGTTTAATACCGGACACGTGGTATAGAAAATTATGATGACAGATTACAACAATGAATCAACTGATGTTTGGAGATTAGGCCCCGGTTTGTAGGATAATCATTCGGGAGGGGAAAACCGCTCCGATGAACCCCCAAAGAGAAGAGAAGTGAGAAGTGCTGAGATGTGAAGCATTTCTTACCTTGCTGGCTGATTGAGGAGATCTGTGGATGAAATTAGATAACACGGGGACATGATGAGAATGTCGGAATAACTGTAGGGTTAATGTGAACGCCAACCATGCTTAGCGCCTGCATGTTGGATTAGACGATGCTGACCCACTGGCCGCAACCTGCACGCGCAGGGTTAAACATGACGCTGACCCACCGGCCGCAACCTGCACGCGCAGGGTTAAACATGACGCTGACCCGCTGGCCGCAACCTGTACACACAGGGTTAAACAAAAGCTGACCCATAGGCCGCAACCTGTACACACAGGGTTAAACGAAATGCTGACCCATAGGCCGCAACCTGTACCTCCAGGGTTAAACAAATGCTGACCCATAGGCCGCAACCTGCACACGCAGGGTTAAACAAATGCTGACCCATAGGCCGCAACCTGTACACACAGGGTTAAACAAATGCTGACCCATAGGCCGCAACCTGCACACACAGGGTTAAACAAATGCTGACCCATAGGCCGCAACCTGTACACACAGGGTTAAACAAATGCTGACCCATAGGCCGCAACCTGTACACACAGGGTTAAACATGACACTGACCTACTCGCCCTGCACGTGCAGGGTTTAAACATAATGCGGACCCACTGGCCGCAACCTGCGCGGCAGGATTCAATACGAGCGAACCTGAAGGTCACGACGATATGAAGTGTTTAAACATGAACACGGTGACACGTACATGTGCTGACTTGCTAAGACCACCACCAGTTGTATGTATAAATACCGTTTAGTGTTCGGACCTTGGATAGCCAGCACGCACGGATGTCCGGGCGAATGTGGGATATGAAGGCGGAGGAGGACCACCGTCCGAGTTGGCAGGGAGGAGGGAGATATGCCTTGAATGGCTGCACCTGTCTGAACGAAAGCCCTGATATGCTATTAGACGCCACCACCAGTTATATGCATATTTACCATAGGTAAACTGAAGAGATCTTGATTGGCGGCACGAGCCGATGTCCGGTGAAGAGGGAGATGTAGACGATATAATGCCCGAGAGCTGTTAGCTTGAGTACGGTGATGCATGAATATCGTAACCTGGTTTACCACGAGCCAAGTGAGCATGAACCCGAGAATATGAATGAAGTGCAGGATGCACGCAGAAAAGACGTACACTTAGGTAAATACTGAGACATGACCCATGATATAGTATATCTTAATTAGCATTAAGTGTGCCGGGATGAGTCATAGATGCTGATGAGCTGATTGAGTGATTAAGACTGTCTTCTATCATCTGAAGTGAGGATGATGGAGGGACGCTAGTGTTAGATCCAGCAAGTGTGATAATAAATGTGTAGAAATAGTGGAAATCTGAATGATCTCATGCAGATATCCCCCCCAAAACGGAGGATGTGCAGTGCACGTCCTTAAGTCGGGGAAAACACGGTCGTCGTGAGGCCGGCGGATGCCACGTCCAGGAAACGGGAGATGATGCGTGCCGAAGAATCCGCATGCAAAGTACGGTTGCCCGGTAAGGAAGAGCAACTGTCGTTGAAGACGTTTATGTGGATGCACGCAGTTGGTTAGAGGAACGATAATACCATGAGCTTGATGTGATGGCTAGGAACTCCGGTGTGAGACTGGGCCTGTAGTTCCTCATGATTAGGAACGCTGTGCTCCTGGAGGAGTCTCTTCTGTTTCTTCTTGTTTCTTCTTCTCTTTTCCCAGTTGAGCGGAGTTGTAGTTTAGTAATGTTGTATTTGAACGCTAGATGCGTGAAGGCAACGCATTAGGAGATCTCCCTGAGCAGTGGGTGATTTGAACTGGGAGAGACGCTATTAATATTATTACCTGAATAGCCGGTGCACGCGTAGTTTCTCCTACTTTACTTAAGGCTGAAAGAGTTCCGCTGAACGATGATGGGAACATTAAAGCGCGTCGTAATATCTGCTTTGAAGAGCCAGCCTTGGCCTGCACGCTATTAGATTACATTATCTCCGTGCGTAGAAAGGGGGGAACATTGACCTTGTCATCGAGATTGCCCTGAGCATTTACCGAATCGTATTAAATAATCTGTCGACGGGCTGTAAACAGAAAAGCTGAAATTGAAACTAATAAGTATTCAGTTACCTCTAATCATTAACCCAGTTTGTATAATGTAGTTACTCTGTGTGTTGCTGCTAGCATACATAACATCTGACGTGGGAACGTTACTCGTGAATGGAGCTACGGAGCTGCTAGAAAGACAGTGGAACCCGGTGCATTCCTCCGTCTGAATGTGGAGCACTTTTGCTAAATGTTTAGACAAAGTGCTCGTGTTACGCCCTTACATGATAAACTCTTATTGCACTTTGGCAACGAGCATTCTCCACATCGAAGAGGGTGAAGTTTAACCACGCCTCGGAGCGCGTTCTCTCCGCCACCTTCGCAGTGTACTCCGCTGCATGTAGCAGCTGTGTGTGTAAACTGCCCCGCCCCCTCGCGATGGGGGAGAGAGATCTCATCTGATCGAAAATACATCATAGGCGCATTTGTTTGTCCTTTGCATATTAGAACGAGTTGTGACACTAGACTGCGATATAATGTTTTTGTAGCAATAAACATGACGTATATTTATAAATGTCTCCGGTACTGATAAGAAGACCAATACGTTGGAGCTTACGCACGTAAACACGCTGCTGACATCACAATGAATCGACGACTGAATTAGTTGCAACTAATTTGGTAATCGATTTGATCGATTAGTCGATTTAGTTGTTGCACCCTTAGTCGCTGCAACTCTGACTACTTTTAAATCCAGGCTGAAGACTTTTCTTTTGTCGCTGCTTTTAATTGAACTATTCATATCTTAGACTGCACTGCAACTTTGATCCATGTACTTTTTCTTTTAATGTTTATTTTATTAGCTTCCTTTTAAGTGACTAATTTTAAATGCCATTTCTTAATGTCTTTCATTTTTTAAAGCAATTTGAATTGCCTTGTGTTGAAAAGTGCTATATAAATAAACTTGCCTTGCTGCCCATGAGATGTTGTTGTCGCAGATCTAGCCGTTGGTGCACCAAGAAACGGAATGTTCTTAGTGGAGAAGAAAAAGAGAAAACCGATCATTTTGTCAATAATCATTAAATTAATATTGGGAGTGAATTCCTAATTTATTTAGTATCTGGTCGTGTCATAAACAGGATAATGTGCAGCGACTTGTCCATTGAGGAAAAGAAGCCCTACGAACGCCATTCATTTCAGGAAACGCTGTGTTGAAGCTTGAACCTGCGTTTAGTTACTGAGCATTGTAATGAGTAAATACCCGACTGCATTAGTAATGCAAGTAATACGTTACTGAAACTCCATACTGTAGCACGTTACCCCCAACACTGCCTGAAGCTCACCTTAACCCTGACTAGAGGTAGGCTCCCAGACCGTAGTCGAGGGGGGGGGGGGGGGGGGGGGACTCTCTGTTGTCTCCCAGGGCAGAAGCAACACGCTTCTGGTTCAATAACTCATTTTATCGGAAAGACTGGAGAGAGGCGAGCTCTTCTTGGGAGGTCGTTGCATTATTTAGCTCTCCTGTTTCGCAAGATAGATTTCGCAAGATCGCAGACCTTCCTTTTCCTGCTGCCTCGTTTATTTCTAAAAAACATGTATCCCGCTCGCTCATACCATGCCCACGCACACATGCACACGCCACACCCCTCTCTTAAGGGTAGCGATCTCACTCTGCATGACCCAAATGTCGTAACATATACGAAACATCTCGTGAATTTGTTGCAACTGCCTTTGCCAACGTTACCCTGACGCCTGTTGAAGTGAGCGCAGGAGGAATAGCTTCAATGGGATAGCTTAAGCCCTGCCTGCCTGCAGGAGGGGTTGTAGTTGAAGCCAGAATGGGTAAAACTCCGCATGTGATGAGGACCCGTTCCGCGTGAAGCCGGAAGCGCTGCATTAGGCGGCCCTGATGCCAGTGATGCCTTCTCAAGAGACTGAAGCGTACGTCAGTTGTTTGCGTGAAGTAGCCATTCCCATTAGGCCGGAGGAACTTCCATGGAGCCAGATTTCCTTGTCTTTTCCTCCCGCGTCCGGGCTTGCGGGACGGCCGGCTGACCCGCTACCCGACTGGGGAACGCAGCCTGTAGCTTAATCCGCGATACTGCGGAGCTGATGAATAAATGCCTGGAGCTGGAACGAAGCCCTCAGCTGGGCCAAAGCCCTGCTGCTGCTTGGCTTAACCATGAACACTGTGACGCGTACACTTGTGCGTTGACACCTGAAATGACAACTGACAGAGAGGGAAGAACAGATTTAAAGGGTTTAGCAGGTGCAATGATTGCTAGCTGGGGAGTACCGCCCCTGATTACTTAATGGGAGAGGAGCTTGCAGTGACGTGTAACACCAGGGGTATGGTCTTCCTTCTTGAACTTGCGCTAAGCTTCATATCTTGTACTTAAGTAAAATTAGAAATACCACAGTGTAGGAATACTATGTTACAAGTAAAAGTCCTGCATTGCAAATGTTACTCAAATAAAAGTACAAGTACAAAGTAGCATCAAATGTAAAGAATAGTATCTCAAAATGGTAATTAAGTACAGTAATTCGTACTTGAGTATGTACTTAGTAACTTTACACCACTGCATATCAGCTGTAACTGTTTAAAAGTAATACGCCTCCTCTCTAGTAAATCATCAATTTCAGGATTCACATAAATATCAATACTTTTTCAACAAAGATGGACAAACTTGTCAAAACTGTGGTGGCTCAGATTAAGTAGACTAAAGATTCAACGATTCAAAGGCTTTAATGTTTTGTGCAAAGTAGCTACAGTTTAGTTTTGGCAATGAACATCTTGAGTCCCAGGCTCCTCCAACTATGCATAATAAATATATGAGACAAAAACCGATAAAATATTAAAAAACAATATTTTTGTTATTACAATGTTTCAAAACAAACAACATTAAAGTTAATACGGGATAGGTCTCCAAATGGTAGTACCGAGTTTCAAAGCACACGGCCATCCCTCACAATCACATTCTTTTAGCCTCTTCTGTACTTTTGTGGCTTAAAACGTGCAGCTGTTGCCAGAAAAGAAACATCTCTGTATTTGTCATGGTTTACAATCTCTCATTATATAAATGTATGTGTTTTTATTATTTACTTTAGGAGTTGCAGGTGGAGGATGTCCCAGATTTTGTGGAGAAGCTAAGTGAAGAGATCAAAGTGATTAAGAATGATGTAGCAAAGTCACCTAATACCATATCAACTATCGTGGAAATCCTGGGCAACATTGCACTTATTGATACTCTGGTAGTCAATCAACCTGTCATAGAGGTAGGTTAATCCGTCCCATCAGCATTATCTTAGTTTAGATATGTCTTTTATGTCAACAAATGTGAACTGCTCTATTGAAACCAGTCCGATGTCGCAACGGCGCATTGCAATTGGGGTTTTCGTTGATTATAAACAAACAATGTTTTGGCTTCCAGTATATCAATCTTTTATAACACATTTATACAATAAATACATTTCCCCCCTCGGAAAATTCACATACACACGCACAAAAACACACACACACACACACACACACACACACACACACACACACACACACACACACACACACACACACACACACACACACACACACACACACACATACCATGTATACATCACTTCAGGGGACATTACATTGACTTACATGCATTTCCTGGAGACTTAACCTAACCTTAACCATAACCAACACATGCCTAACCCTTAACCTTACCCTAACCCTAATCCTAAACCTAACCAAGTCTTCACCCTAAAATTAATGATTCCCCTCATGGGGACCTCCAATTTGTCCCCATAAGGGAAGCCAGTCCCCACACGTGACTATGTAAACAGATTTAGGTCCCCACAAGTATAGTAATGCTAGGCCACACACACACACACACACACACACACACACACACACACACACACACACACACACACACACACACACACACACACACACACACACACACACACACACACACACACACACACACACACACACACACCTACTTTCGGTCACACTTTTCTTCTGAACTTGAGCCCCCTCTTTTAAATAGCTATAGCTAAATTATTGTCAGCAAACTTTGAAGGCCTTTTAAAAAATCTTGATATTTCGCTGAATATTTGCAAAACTAAACAATAAGTAGATATTCGGAATGCTAAGAATCTCCTCTTTCCAGTTATGTACATAACTCAAAATGTGTATCGGAGTCGATGTGACTGATTTTTATAGAGCAGTTCACGTATATTTTTTTTATGCAGATGTAACCTCACAATGAAATCTGTCTTCATCTGCAGGGTGTCCTTCAAACAGTTGATGTCATTATTGGTGAGGATTCAAGAGAGTCCTGGACAGCTCTGAATGCAAACGAAAGCAACAACGCAAGCTCTGATTTACTGGGTTCGATGGAACTCCTCTCTGATAAAATAAATGGGACATTTACCTTTGAGACTGCTGCAATCCTCTTCGACAGAAGCACCTTTGACCCTGACCTTATCTCGTTCTCCGCAAATCTGAACAACAGCGTTGTCCTGGACATTCCTAACACCGGCTTTAGCAATGCCTCTATCACCACTATTACTTTCTCCACCCTAAATAATGTTATGCCAGTACGGAGCTCCAGCTTTAACACCAGCCTCTTCAACACCAATAACACTGACCCCGTTAATGCCCTCAACGCAGCTGTGGTGCTGATAAAAGTAAATGAAACTATTCGGAACGTTACTTTAAGCTACACCAAGTTAAACACGACTCTGACGCAAGATCCTCAGTGTGTCTTCTGGAACTTTAGACTGTTTGACAACAGGGGTGGTTGGGATAGTGACGGGTGTCAGTTTGTTTCCGATATAAATGACACAGTAACCTGCAGATGCGACCATCTCACCTCATTTTCAATTCTGATGTCAACTGGTATCCCTCAAGAATTAAAAGAACTCTTGGATATAATCACCTACGTTGGAGTTGGGATCTCTTTGGCAAGTTTAGTTATATGTTTAATTATTGAAGGATACGTTTGGAAAGCCATAACTAAAAATAGCACTGCCTTCATGCGTCATGTTTCCATCATTAACACTGCCCTCTCTCTGTTGATCGCTGACATCTGCTTTATCATTGGAGCCTCCATTGCCGACAACCCAGCTGAAAACCCGGGGAAGAATAACTATAATGTTCCAGTTGACTCTTGCAGCACAGCAACATTTTTTATGCACTTGTTTTACCTTGCGGTGTTCTTTTGGATGCTGGTTTCAGGCCTTCTGCTACTTTACCGGACAGTCATGGTCTTCTCCCACATGTCCAAGGCAGTCATGTTGGCTATTGGCTTCTTATTAGGCTACGGGTGCCCTCTGATCATAGCTGTTGTTACTGTTGCCGCCACAGCACCAGGAGAAGGATACATCACGAACAAAGAGGCTTGTTGGCTTAACTGGGAGCAAACAAGGGCTCTGTTGGCGTTTGTGATACCTGCCTTAACTATAGTTTGTATCAACATCATTATCGTAATCGTGGTCCTGTTCAAAATGCTAAGAAGAGGCGTGGGAGACGCCGGCCAAAGAGAGGAAAGGCATACGCTGGTGGTCATTCTAAGGTGTGTGGCCATTTTGACTCCTTTATTTGGACTGACCTGGTCTTTAGGAGTGGGGACCATGCTAGATTCGACAAATAGAGGACTCCACATTGTCTTTGCACTCTTCAATTCACTACAGGTATTTGCAACCATTAAAAATAACCAAATAACAACTTGTTCTTACATAGCAGTATTTTTATATAATATCTACTTCGTCAATTTCTTTGAAGTTAAATAAAAATGCGTGTTATTTCATTTTCCTCAGGGTTTCTTCATTTTAGTGTTTGGGACACTACTCGATTCAAAGGTATGTTGTCTTCAAACTAATAATTGTGGATAGACGATTGATACCTCTTTTGATAGTAGTAGTAGAAGTATTCAAATCCTTTAACCTGCCAGAAGGTTCAAATACCAGATTATAACTTAATATCATGCAATGAAAAATGACTAAAGTCAAATCAGTTTTAGCATTATTGTTATCATATTTTATATTCCATAATGAGATTATCATGAAGCATTGAAACAAAATGATAGAGGTTCTTGTACTTTTGTGATTTAGTGCCCCCAGTTAAAGATTGTAATTGAAATTTACTCCATAACGTTGAGTGTGCATTTGTTATGTTAGCATTACTTAAGATACAAACTAGCAGGTTGACAACTTTGTTAACAAAGCCAAACATCAAGAATCAGAAGTCCTTAACTTTCCAACGGCAGGAACATTTACAATGTTACAGCAAGCCCAGTGCCAAAGCAAGAGTACACAACACAATAAATAGAAGGCCGGCTAATCAGCTAATCTGGCTATTGACCCCGCCCACCTGGTTTATGTCCTGTACCTCAGGCTGTGTTGACGATGTTACTTTTTATGTAAAAACAATTACCCAAAGTGAAGAGAACAAGAAAAACAAATCCTGCCCATTTGTACAGAATTACTGGAAGAATGTTTTCGTCCACCATTTCGTAGTGAAGAGCTTTGGATCTTGGAAATACTGGCAGCCTAGTTTTAAGCCCTTGATATACACATGTGTGAAATGAACTTGCTCACTCCATATAACTGGCTGCAATCTAATTACGAGAATGCACTCAAAGTATAGATATAAATATAACGACAAAAAAGCGTACAGGTAATGCCGTCTCAAGGGCTATGAACGAAGGACGGCACAGGATTAACATGTATCAGCTTCACTGGAGCACACACGCCATTTTAGAATCACTAAAACTATCTTCCTGTCATGTAAGAGCTAGAATTCAAAGCTTAAAAACTCACCAAATGGTTGGCGAAGCCATAACAGAGGGTCTCTATCTTCCTTGACAATGATGACATGCTGTATTCCAGCCAATCGTTACTTGCAAAAAGTATTCTGATGAAGTGACGCCGTAGATGTTGCCAATGTGAAACATCCATTCATGCTACCCAGAGAACCTCAGAGAACTCAATGTTAATACAGTTGTTGTTCGGCATAGGTGGAGCTTGTTTTTACTGCTTCAAGCTTTGTTTTGCAATCCATTGTTTTTAAGGTAAACTCGTAATTGTTACATGTGTATAGAGGATTTAAGGGCATATTTGTTGAATACTTATATATGTAATGGATTGGTTGGAAAGAGTTCAGATAACAAAGTGTAACCCAAGGGCAGTACTGGAGACAACGTAGCCTACTGTGCGAATATGCCTAGCAGCCCCTCTAAAGCTCACAAGAGTGTTAATGCTAATTATAAAGCAAGGAAGCTTATTTTCTTTGTTTAAAAATGTTAATCTTCTTGAATGTTTTCCAAATCGCACATAAGTTGATTGAGATGAATTTGATTTTCCTGTAGATCCGTTCTATCCTCGCAAGAAAATCACCTACAACAAGCACAGGCTCCAATACAACCAGAGTAAGTCATTTTAAAGTGCATGCAGTTTTTCTTGTTCATAATTTTTCTACCCATTAAATAACAAAGATATCCTGCTATCACCTATTTATACCATATAATATTTGTTTTCTACTTTAGAGTACAAGTGGGGGCATTTCCTCCACTGGACTCAACTGGTTCCATCGACTGCGTGGAAGAAGAAGCAAGTTTTTATTTTAAATTGAGCAGTTCTTTTCATTTACTGAGATATATTTTCCCTAATAACAATTTGTTATTTGTCTTTCAGACGTCTACCAAGTGTCAGAGGCTGTAAACTCGGGCAGTGCTGGTGCGTCGGAGTCATTCTCCAATATCTAAATCAATGCACTGGAACCGTACACTTTATTTCTTTAGGGCTATTTATTCAAAACATCTGACAATTATAGGATTTTCAGCACATAATCAGAAACGTTGCAGTTTACTGGGATGATATTGTAAGAGATGGTGCAACAGACATGGTGAGTTTTGAATTCAGAATAGTTTAGGTCCTACAGGCAGCATTAAAAGACGTTTGCATTGTAAAGGTACTGTTCCGTTATTCAAAGCCCTAGGAAAGCAAGAGTGACACAACATTGTGAATGAAACTTTGAAATTACATTTTATTTTGAAGTGTGAAATGTAGTGGTGCTCTGAATCAATGATGTGCAATGATCAATTATTATCTTAATGTACAGTCGTAGTGAATCATACCTACTAGCTTCTAGGTGTTTCATGATAACATTGATAATACCATGACTATGTTCCTGAGAAAAAGAGCATAATACTTCCTTCATTAAAAGCAAAACCTAAAACCTAAAAAATGTGTAAAAAGATAAATAGATTTTTAGTAACAGTGTAGCTCAATAATGCATGTTAGCTAAACAGCAGCAGTTGTAAGAACAGCAATGAAATTAAACTAATGTAATGTTCATTGGCCCGCCCCCCCCCCAAAGAAAATGCTCGCCATGAAGAACTTTGCTTTTAAAATATGTGGAGAGTTCAATGATGTGTATATACAGTTGTTTTAGTTTTTCATAAATGTTTTTTATTATAAATGAAATGCTTTACACAATTTAAAGTGTTTTCTCTTAATATAACAAGTATTGCCTTCCAACCGTGTTCTTTTTCTGTAAATTATCAATTTTTCCTAATAAACATACAAATTAGAGCACTATACATAACACGTTTTGAAGATAGATTGGTTCTTTGACAGTCAATATTGTGTTATAATGTTTAAGGCGACCTATTATGCAAAATGCACTTTTTGACGCATATTATAAATAAATGGTGGAATGAGCTCCCCATTGACATCAGGACAGCAGATAGTTTGCACATCTTCCGGCGCAGACTGAAAACTCATCTCTTTCGACTCCACTTCGAGCGATAGAACTATTAACGAAGCACTTTTATACTAATAAAGGACTGGCTTATCTAAAGCCAGTTGAGTAGCACTTGAAATGTTTTTGCTCTATGAAACCTGATGTACTTATATTATTCTGTTTTCTTCAAGGTTGTGTCTTCCTGGTCGAATGTACTTATTGTAAGTCGCTTTGGATAAAAGCGTCAGCTAAATGCAATGTAATGTAATGTAATAAATATTTGTCCCCGGTGTGTAAGGAGACTTACAACGTGTCAGAAAATAAAACCCTCTCTCTTTTCCTTCGTACCCACATCTCTAAATACGGGTGCACCATGGAGCTGATCCAGATTCAACCCGGTATCACGGCAAGACGTGAACATGTGACGATTTGCCATGCTCGGAGACGTGAAGATGTCACGATTTCGTCCCTTCAAACGTAACAGTTACACAGTATTGTTAACATGGCCCAACCAGTGGAGATATACACGGAAATGCCAAGCAAATGCTACCCCGACGGTCGGTTGTTATTGTCAATATTAATATAATAATGATTTATTTTTTAATAGTCACACTCGATTTCGCCGATTTTCTTGTTGCCCCAGCTGGTCGACACCTCTTTTAGCAGAAACAAAGGCTACATTAATGTATTAAAGGTGGGGTAGGTAAGTTTCAGAAACCGGCTCGAGATACACTTTTTGTTATAATCCATGGAATGCTCTTAACATCCCGATAGCAATGAATATCTTAAGTGCTTTGACAAAAAATCCATAAAAAAATGTCATCTGTGGAAGCCGTAATACTGTAAAAAGTACAACCAATCCGTTTAGCCGGGCCGGATAAACGGATTGGATTGCCGCCCTGTCTGTCAGCCTTCCATCTCGTGCACGCACAAATGTATCTCGTGCCCTCATTGGGCGTGCAGTCATTGGGCGTGCATTGCAGCAGTACTTCAATGACTCGCCGGCAACAGGCGGCCACTTTCACCAGTCTGCTGACGTCATGTGCGCGTTCATGTGTGTTGGAGGAGGTGCTCTGTAAGGAAGTCTGAAGGAAGGGGCGGATTCTTTTCGGCTGTGTACTTTCAAATTGTAGTGCACTCGAGCCGGTTTCTGAAACTTACCTACCCCACCTTTAAATCAATGTTAATCCATGTGTGTGGATGTGGAATTAACGGACGTGATGTTGTGCGATTGCGTTGCCAGGCAACAGCTTCGGTTCATGTTAATTTACAAACTCTTCAACTAGAACCGTAGTTATATTTAAAAACATTTTAGAAGGCCTCACGAAATACTTTAATGTAAATTAAAATGTAAATGTGAATGAATGTTTGTATATTAATTGGAGTCTTTGCTCTAGGCGTAGTGTGTTCTCTGACAGCAATACGCCGGCCATAATATCCCTGTACACGCATAGCAATATGATACTGTAACTAAATACATCCGTCATTAACAATACCAGAAACAGACGTAGGCAAGATCCTCAGCTCGGTGATTCGATGGTTTCGCCGCAATGCATGTTGGGAAATGGTGTTTATGCGATGTGAAATCAGAATTATTATTATTTTTTTTTTAAATAATACTTTATTCCGAGTGTGCTTGCTTTTCTCTTTGAAAGTCATCACATAACGGCATTGTAATACACGGTTCGGCTGAATTAAATATTACATATCTGCCTTAGTTCTCTATTTATAGAGCCCTGATTAGAAAACTTCTGGACAAACAGGAAGAACTGCCGCCAAAACTGAAAACGTGACGTGGATCATAAATATATCAGCAATTAAGCAACATCTTCAATATCTCTTCACACAATACGTCTCCTTGCAGTATCAATGCTAATTTGGCTGACTTTTTTTGCGATATCTCGCAAAGGTTTTGCGAGATCTCGCAAAACATTTTATTTTTATTTATTTTTAAATATTTTTTTTTTCTTCTCCATGTCCCCTAGGGGGCTCCGTAAGGGGTATTGCTTCTGAAGTTTTCACCAAAGGAGATATTCAGCTTGAATGCCGGGGAAAACTTTTCAACCAGGATAGTGCTGCGTACCGGTACGCCGAACCGGTACTGGACTTGTAAAAAGTTTCGGTTCAAGTCCGGTTAAAACCGGAACGTCGGGAACCGGTACTTGGACTCGCAAAAAAACTAGCACTTACGTATATTCTGGTGTCTGTGGTTATTTAAACATTCCCTGATAAACGTTATTCAGCGTCAATAAATGAGTGCTAATCCCAGTGTGCTCAGTGTACAACATCACATGTCATTTCACCTTCGATTCACGGTTTGAAAACGTAGCATTTCGCCACATGCTAATGCTAACCGGAAGTGAATCATTTTCAGAATAAAAGTATTAAGTTAATAGTGTGAACTTCCGTTTTTTTCAGAATAAAACTGATTTATGTATTGTACTGATTGTGTATTTAATTCAAAATTACGCCATATCCATCCATCCATCCATCCATCCATCTTCTCCCGCTTATCCGTGGTCGGGTCGCGGGGGTAGCAGTTCCAGCAGAGAGCCCCAAACTTTATTTTCCCTGGCGACATCAACCAGCTCTGACTGGGGGATCCCAAGGCGCTCCCAGGCCAGCGAAGAGATATAATCCATCCACCTGGTCCTAGGTCTACCCCTTGGTCTCTTCCCAGCTGGACGTGCCTGGAACACCTCCCTAGGGAGGCGCCCAGGTGGCATCCTAACTAGGTGCCCGAACCACCTCAACTGGCTCCTTTCGACGCGAAGGAGGAGCGGCTCAACTCCGAGTCCCTCCCTGATGACCGAACTTCTCACCTTATCCCTAAGGGAGACACCAGCCACCCTGCGGAGAAAACCCATCTCGGCCGCTTGTATCCGCGATCTCGTTCTTTCGGTCATGACCCATCCTTCATGACCATAGGTGAGGGTAGGAACGAAAATGGTCCGGTAGACAGAGAGCTTTGCCTTCTGGCTCAGCTCCCTTTTCGTCACAACGGTGCGGTAAAGCGACTGCAGTACCGCTCCCGCTGCTCCGATTCTCCGGCCGATCTCACGCTCCATTGTTCCCTCACTCGAGAACAAGACCCAGAGATACTTGAACTCCTTCACTTGGGGTAAGGACTCATTCCCTACTTGGAGTGGACAGTCCATCGGTTTCCTGCTGAGAACCATGGCCTCAGATTTGGAGGTGCTGATCCTCATCCCAGCCGCTTCACACTCGGTTGCGAACCGATCCAGTGAGTGCTGAAGGTCGCAGACCGATGAAGCCATTAGAACCACATCATCTGCAAAAAGCAGTGGTGCAATCCTTAGTCCACCGAACTGCAGACCCTCTCCCCCATGACTACGCCTCAAAATCCGATCCATGTATATTACAAACAGGATTGGTGACAAAGCGCAGCCCTGGCGGAGTCCAACCCTCACCGGAAATGGGTCCGACTTACTGCCGAGGACCCGGACACAGCTCTCGCTTTGGGAGTACAGAGATTGGATGGCCCTGAGTAGAGACCCCCTCACCCCATACTCCCGCAGCACCTCCCACAGTAACTCCCTGGGAACTCGGTCATACGCCTTCTCCAAGTCTACAAAACACATGTAGACCGGATAAGCGTACTCCCAGGCCCCCTCCAGGATCCTTGCGAGAGTAAAAAGCTGATCCGTTGTTCCACGACCAGGACGGAATCCGCATTGTTCCTCCTCAATCTGAGGTTCGACAATCGGCCTGACCCTCCTTTCGAGTACCTTAGAGTAATGTTTCCCGGGGAGGCTGAGTAGTGTGATGCCTCTGTAATTGGCACACACCCTCTGATCCCCCTTTTTAAAAAGGGGAACCACCAACCCGGTCTGCCACTCCTTCGGTACTGTTTCCGACTTCCATGCAACGTTGATGAGACGTGTCAACCATGACAGTCCCTCAACACCCAGAGCCTTCAGCATTTCTGGGCGGATCTCATCCACCCCCGGGGCTTTGCCACTGTGGAGTTGTTTGACGACCTCAGTGACCTCCCCCCGGGAGATTGGTGTTGATCCCCCGTCATACTCCAGCTCTGCCTCTAACATAGAGGGCGGAGTTGTCGGGTTCAGGAGTTCCTCAAAGTGTTCCTTCCAACGCCCTAACACTCCATCAGTTGAGGTCAACAACGTCCCATCCTTACTGTACACAGCTTGGATGGTTCCCTGCTTCCCCCTCCTGAGGTGTCGGACAGTTTTCCAGAACAACTTTGGTGCCGCCCGAAAGTCCTTCTCCATGTCTTCTCCGAACTTCTCCCACACCCGCTGCTTTGCCTCGGCCACGGATGAGGCTGCTGCCCTTCGGGCCTGTCGGTACCTTGCAACTGCCTCGGGAGTCCCCCGGGATAACAAATCCCTGAAGGCCTCCTTCTTCAGTCGGACGGCTTCCCTGACCACCGGTGTCCACCTTGAGGCACCTAGGACCTTGAGACCACAGCTCCCCGCCGCGGCTTCGGCAATAGAGGCTTTGAACACCGACCACTCTGGTTCAATGTCCCCAACCTCCACAGGAATGCCCGAAAAGCCCCGCCGGAGGTGTGAGTTGAAGGCCTCCTGAACTTGGGCCTCCTCCAGACGTTCCCAGTTCACCCGAACTACACGTTTGGGCTTACCAGGTCTATCCAGAGGCTTCCCCCACCACTCGACCCAACTCACCACCAGATGGTGATCAGTTGACAACTCCGGCCCTCTCTTTACCCGAGTGTCCAAAACATACGGCCTCAGGTCCGATGATA